TGTATGGTTATATTATGGCGTATTTTCTGCGACAGAAACACATTATAAGTCCACGATTTTCAAGTATTTAATCGGAAGAATATATAAATTAAAGGGCAGTGGTCGTCGCGTCGCGTTCTGTTCGATAAGAGACTCACGGCGATGTCTGTAACATACAATGTTACATGAAATTCGAACAAGCCCTGCGCGACGACCACCGCCCTTAGAAACAAATGTCAACATCCTAGCAACAATCATAGTTTTTTAAACGAAAAATAAACATAGCTGGCTTAAATTCAGTAAGACTATCATACACACACGTTATAACACGGCAATTAAGCATTTTCCCAATAAATGGTGTCACATTTTGACCATGCATCCTAAAATAAACTCAGTTACTGAATCGCTGTCACGATGAAAAGTTCCCATGTATAAATTGTAATTATCTGACCTCACCTTGGTTACCTCAGCTGCTCGCATCTCACCTACTTCAACACCAAGTAGCGACTGTACTATGACCTGTTTAGAATATATTTGCTCAACGATAGCACCGCAAGCGGTGGTAACAATTAGACCATGCACATCTTCTGTATTCGAAAGACCAGGTGTCACTATAAAATTCCCATGTGCGGATTGAGGGGGAGGCGCGCCAAAGCTCGCGCCCCCTCCTTTAGCCCGCAAAAAAAAGAAGGAAAAAAAAGACATATCAATTGACAAAACCCAGCCCACCGGAGGTCTACTTCGGCCACGTCAATAGAAGTGCGCACCCCTTACCGAATTGTTGGTTCTGCCAGTGATTCCATCTTAATTTTCTTTCTATCGGTCAATATAGATGTGTTGGTTCTCAACGCTACTGGTCCAACATGAAACCAGCCGGTCCCAGAGCGACGGACTGGCGCTCCTCCGAACATGATTTTACACACGTTATCACAAATATAAACTATTATTAAATTGTTATTTTGAATTGTGGTATGTTTATCATTTATATTCATGTTCCGCTGATTTAAAATTTTTAGTATACCAAAAAATCACCTTTCTTAGGATTTAGCATTTCAAAATATTTTATTTCTTTATTTCTTTTCTTTATATGTATAGTGCTGCTTTTTTTTCATACGTCAGAAATTGCGAAGATAAGATCTCTCTAAAAATAAAAATGTGTACTATACTGCATTTATTTAACACCGACAGTAGAATTTCCTATAAAATTAATCATTTTTAAACAAGTTTTATTTTCTTTATTTGTTTTGTTGTCTTGGTGTGCATGGCCATTTTTATCTTCTCTGTCGGGAAGATACGGAAAATATAAGCTGATAAATATCATTACGCCAACCCTTCATTATTGAGGGACTGTGATATAACATACGCTAGTAGACTCTCTCAACATGCTACATAACAAGACAACAACCGCCCGTGAATCTGTTACTTAGCCAACACTACGTTGAATTTGTTTATCGGGAGTCAAAACAACCCTTGGTTATAACAAATCAGATAACGGTACACTCTCCATAGGTAGAGAGTAGGACATGTTTATCCCGTAAGGAAAACGAACGTGGTCACGATGGCCCGCTCGTGTTTAGAGAACCCATCATTCCACAGGGAGCCCAGGAACTATAATCAACTGTAGTACGCAGTCTCTATGAGCGGGGGGGGGGGGGG